TTGATCCTTATAAAAGCTATTAGATTTTTAAGAGGAGGAAGAGAAGAAAAGATGGTTGTTTGGTGAAATTTGGATGATTAGATTGAGAGATATAGAGAAGAGAGAGTGGGAGTATAGAGAGAGAATTCAGACAAGATGAAATGAAGAACATGAAGAAGAAAATCCGAAGTTATGCTTGCTTTATCTCAAAATATGATCTTAGCCTCATTCAAATCTGTTTGAAAAAATTAGTCATGAATGCTTGACTAAACAAGTTGCCACAACACACATTACAAGTTATTAGATTAAGTGAGGTTAAGGGTAGTCTAGGTTGCAAGTTACTTGTATGATAATTCCAATACTTGCTCTTCTAATCCCATATGTGCATAGATATGATAAGGTCTTATTCTCCCTTAATTGCCTTGGAATTCACTCTAAATGAAGCTCAAATTTAGATCTAAAATTTTTCTCTAAGTTTCTCAAACACGTTGCAATTAACTTGAGCTTTGACAAGTCAATTGGATCCCTTATGTGCGAGTGCATGAAAACTTTATATATGCCTTATTTTCCCTTAAAAATCATGCTCAAATGGACTCATTCCAAGTTTGAATCATGTTGTTCCTTGGAAGCTCTTTTCAATTGCCTTGAGTTATGTCTTCATTTGTCATACTAATTCACCTAAGTCACAATTAAATCAAATAATCAAATAACTATAGTGTGACATCTATTTAATTAGACTAAGATATGAAATATTTAATTCTTTAAAAATATGAAAATAAAAAAGGAAAAATGCATATGAAAGCCTCACAAAACTCAAGTGTGGACAAGCACACACTTAAACTAAAATCAAAGGTTAATTAGAAACCCTCAAGGAGACAACCTTAAAATGTTGTCTTTTCCTAATAAATCTTAACCTATGATGAATTCAATAAAAATTAATTAGATCAATCATCTTATATCATCAAAAGACATAAATCTCAAGCTTAACCCTAATTTGGTGAAAAAATATATTTTATGACTAAATTACCCTTAATGAATATATTTAAACACTTAGGCAAAATTATACTAAGAATGTGATATTAATGCATATGAAGACTCTTAAAATATAGAAATGGCCCTAAAACTAATGCACACATAAAATTCTCAATTTGCACTTAAATTCCCAACAAAGTTCAAAAATGACCAAAATGCCCCTAATATGCATACTTTCTCACTAAGGCTCAAAACCCTAATTTAATACCTAGAATGCACATTTTAGGGTTTTCTATCATGAAATATGGTCCTAAATTTCTAAGAAAAGTGTGTAATAATTATGACCTATCACCTCTTTATTGGACAAATAGTCTGGGTTGTAGGGTTGAGTAAAAGGAACCATAACCCAAGTAGAAGAGTATTTTGGGTCCATAAGAGGAATGGGTCTAATGCAGCTTTTAAACCATCAGTAGCTTTAAGATCTTCATGTTAAACTACTAAATGTGCTTTAGATTGACCTTTAGTGGTCAAAGCTTCTTAATCTTGTTGTTGAAGCTAGCCTTCAGTGCCTTGTTCTTTAGGTTCTTCAACAATTGTCTCCTCAACAAGAAGATGTTTTGGGTGAAGGAAAGGCTTAGTATGCTTATGTTTAGGGATGGATTTCTTTCTTTGGGAGGGTTTAGTTACAGATTGGGCAAAGGAGAGGGCTAGTGAAGGCACAAGCATAAGAATGGAAGAAGGAATGGCTGGCTCTCCAAAATTTTTGTGAGTTTACCAACAAGTTTGGTAACATTCATATCAGCTATGTCTTCATAGAGTTCTTCAAATGTTAGAGAGTCTGTTGATTTTTTGTAGAGATAGAAGGTCAAGAATTGGTAGGCCATTAAAAGGATGAACACTCATATGAGTAATGCCTTCATAGAGTTCTTCAAATGTTAAGGAGTCTGTTAATTTTTGAGGGGATAAAAGGTTAAGAATAGGTGGCCATTAAAAGGATGAATTAGCTTAGATGTGCCTTGATGGCTTTAGGATTCTGCTTAAGACTTAATGTGATGAGTTGAGTCTTATGGTTAAGTATTAGTTTGACGGTGGATGGAAGATTCTTAGTCTCAATGGAAGAGGAGGTTTCGTTGTCCATGTGAGAAAGGATCATATAGTGAAGATATTTGAAATGGTGAGGGTAGAGATACTGATTTTGTTCAGGAAGTTGAGGAAGAGGAGACAGTATGTACAAAACCTTCTCTGAATCTAGAAGGACCAGCTTCTTCTTCCCTCTTTATTTCTCCTTCTTGAGCCTCAAAAATACTAAGGTGATCTATAATTCTATCCAATTTACCATTAAGATAAAGCATCATATCATCAAGTCCTTTTATATCATTCTTCAGCTGAACCACAACTTGGTCTAACTTACCCTCAATTTAATTCAAAATCTTATAAAGGAAGGCATTAGACATTTCACCTTGAAGAGTAGGTATCTATGGCAAAGGTTGAGATGAAGAGGTTCTAACAGCTTCAGCCTTCTTCTTCATCTTTCTTTTCTTCCTTGTTTTTTCCACATCAATGGGCTCATTCTCTTCTCTTGGAAAAAAATCCTTCCCAATTAGCTTGAACCTTATCTTTAAGAGTACAGTGTCCTTAAATTCTTTAGGCTATACAGCAACTCCTTTAATGTGATTGATTCTGAATCTCCTTAGGATTGTCGATATAATGTTGGGGAAGTGGAGATTTTTGTTCCTCTTCTTTTTCTTCTTGGTGTCTATCTTAGACATATGCAACATCTTTGTTAATTTGTAGTGACACATATTGATATTTTGCTTCTTGATTAATCTTGTCAATATTTTAGCCTCAAATTTGCTGTAAGTGTTGAAAGTAGTCCTCTTGTTGATAAAGAATCTTCCCACCAGATATGCTAGCATTTAATGCTTCAAGGGAAAATTAGTTGGTCTGAATGAGAACCCTAGCCTTAAGGGCTTGCTCGATCATCATGATATGTATTTTTCCTCTATAAAGTGAAATCTTAAAGCATTCTTTTGAGTAGCTCTATCATATTCTTGCAAGCCCAAGTCTCTTGCTTTAATTCCCATAATATGTGCCAAGCTTTTGGTAGTGAAAAATATAGGACATCCTCTCACTTGAGCTTTATTGGTCTTTTTGGTTCCGTCCTAGCCAAAGCTTGCGTAGAATTCTTTGATGACCTCTGGGGAATAATTAGTGTTCAACTCCAACAATCCCTTATAATTACTCAAGTATTCATTAATATCAAAGTTGTGAACCTTGATAAATGAATCATACTTGGTGAAGCGTCAAGTAACCACCATTTTAGAAGAGAAGAACTAATTGTACCGAGATTGGTATTCTGAGCTAAGTAGCTTCCCTTCTCTCAAACTTACTTAAAAAATGTCACTAAAAGGCACATTACTACCATCCTTGGACAATTCTCCACCTAACCTAGTTAACTTGTCTTCTTACTGGCTTGAAGGTGCAAGTTTTATCGCAGGCTCCCTTCCAATTCTTAGAGTTTTGCTCTTCTTTGAAGGTTGGGCTAGTGATTTTCTAGCTTCTTCAATTAAAGATTTTGTGAATTTTCTCGTCTTGGTCACTTTAGAGCTCTGTTTCTTCCTAGTTTCCTTAGCGCGAGCCATTTCAAAGATAATGGAAAGAAACGCTAGGTTGAAGATTAAGAGGAGTTTAGGGATTTTAGATGCAAAATAGTGTTTAGGAATGATGAGTAATGAATTTTGAACACTATAATGACTAGAGAAGGATCAAGAAAGAAGTTAAGAATGATGGAGAGTTGTAACAGTCAAAAGTAAGAATGTTAGAGCACATGTGAAATGAAGGAACTGACTGAAGGAGTATATATAGAAATGAGCCATTAGTAAAGAAGCAATTCATGCATGATTTGTCATTTCTTCAGCTTATTTGGACATTTCACACTTGAGACTCAATAAGTTTCATGCTTCATTTGTCCACATAGTGCTATTCAAAAATTTGACATTTTGGCTCATGCTAATTCATGCATGATTACTGATTAGTCTTATGCATGATATGTCTAGGAAAACAAAGAAAGACTTTCAAAATTACATTTCATGCAAAGAAAGCTTCAACCTTCACATTCAATTTGTCATAACTTAAAGAGATACCTTTCTGTAAAAAAATTCACGCTTGAGGCACAAGTGCTTCCACGCGTGATTTGTCATAACTCAAGGTAGGTAACTTTCTATATGCCATTTCATGCTTGAAACTTACTAGGTCTCGTACGTGATTTGTCCTTCCTTATAAAAGCCATATTTTTGTAAAGTGTTTCACGTGTGATTTAGCTTATAATCATGAGTGAAATGTCCCAAAATATAAGAAAACAACTCTCTTAACAAAATAATACCTGATCTATAACCCTCCCTTTATATCAACATGACATAAAGAGAGAATTAACATAATCACTGCATTAAAACCAAACCATATTCAAATAATTTTTTTAAAAAGCTTGGGCTTAAGACTCAACTTAACATATCAGAGCAATACACAGCAGAAACTAAACCTATGCATTCATTGTACTCATTACATGCCATAAAAATAATGTCATAAAGTCAAAAACTGAGCCATGCATTGTGGCGTGCACGACATGCATTATGGCATGTGTTATAGAGCCACGAGCAGCTCTTTTTTATGCCATGTGTTGCATTGCATATGACAATTTCTGCAATTTTCATCTGATAGTCAACAAAGTAACCTTCTGACATGTGCCGTTTTCACATAAGATGTCTAATCAGAGTGGTTCAAGTACCCACACGAAGCTTATTTCATAGGCTAACTAATGAGATAAGTTTAGATAGATCTTATGGTCCAATCAAAATTTAGACATCTTGGTGTAAAATGTTACTTTAAAAATTTAGCACAACCAAGTGCTCAAATCGCTCTCATTAGTCCATTCTAGCCCTTAAACCAAGTCCAAAAGGACCAAATACACCTAATTGACTATATTTTATAACATTCATACACATAGATCAAGATTTGGCTCTTTAGCAGCCTAGTTTCACATTTCACAACATTACACCAAACACATTAGTTTGTCATATTTTTGCAATTTTACTACAATTCTCATGTCTTCTCATTCACAACATATTCACCATAAGTTCACAACTAAATCTTAGCCTCCGTTTCTCATTTCACCACATATACACATAAATAGGCTAAGATTTATCAAAATTCATAACAATTCTCAACAATCACAACTTTAAACATGCATGCATATCCTATGCCAACTTATATACATAATATACACAAGCATAGTATTCATTATACAAAACTTAGATATTTCATAGCAATAGCACACTATGTCAATCTTGACTCTTTTCCTTTGTCTTGCTCACCATTATGACCTATAAAAATGTAACCATAAGTAATAGAATAAGCAATCATAAGTAAGTATTACATAAGATACATTTAAACATAACATATAACAAGGATTTCATTTCAAATGACTATATCAATATAGTGTTATACCACTAATCACCATTTTCACAACATTTCACCATATTTAGCTTATAGCATGATTGCTACCATCTAAACCTCTAAATCATCTCAAATTGAAACTATAAGCTCACCTTAGACTAAGGTACACACATTTATTAGTCCTGAGCTTACCTTCAATGGTAGAATCACCATACCAAATGTATTCTATCTCACTTTTGAACTATGGTTTTCCCTATCACACACATTGGGTTATCATTGATTCCAACACTACATCACATCGATACTAAGGAGTCCAAATCTCTAATACCACACCTCATTAGGTACCAAAGAGATAATCTCTAACACTACACCTTGAAGGTTACTAAGAGATACAGTTCTCCAATACTGCATCCCATCAGGCACTAAGAAGAATATGCCATATGTTCTTTCTCTTCATCTCTACATGGGTGAACTCTAACCTCTATGATCATGCTTTCCTATAAATTACCTCTTTATATATATATATATATAACTTTATATATATATATATATAATTAAAAAACATGCGATTCCATAAACTTGATTCATTATAAATTATTTTCATGTATTAAACATTCACTTAGCAAACATGCTCATTTTAAAATATTTTCATGCAACAATACTCATATTTTTAAATAGTTACAATAGATAATCAAGCAAAGGAAGTTATTTGGTTACTTCAATCTTTTTGTCAAAACAAGGTTACCTATAAACTCTTTACTACCACTCATGATTCACTACAAGCTTCATTTCTTACTTCACATATAGAACAAATCAATCTACACACAATTGGCATAACTTGTTAATTAACTAATTTGACTAAAAGCACTTAATTATTTCTTAAAGCTATATTTAGCCATCTATTCCTTTCCACTTAGCAAATCTAGGTTCGTTCCTCCTCAATTGCCACTTTCTATCGCTTCTAACAATTTCATTTCATTTCTACTCCATTTCTAGCCCTTTTATTTTCCCATTTAAGGCTAATTTGAGCTTGTAACTTTAAAGCTCTATCATTTAGCCATAAATTAGTCACAAAGCTATAATTTACAAGTTTAATTATTAGAGGGTAAGAAACTAACTCCTTAAATTTGTCCTATTCAATTTTCTTTAACTCATACTATGAGAATTTATAGTAAAGTCAAAGGTTAGGGCTGTACGAGACTTACTCGATAAGCTATCATTCAAAAACACTTTCCAATACCCTAAGAATTGATACCCTAATAGAAGAATACTCCCTTTTTCCTTTTCTTTTTTCTTTCCTCTCTTTCCCCTCTATAACCACCAATTGATTCATGATTTAATATCTAATTTCCTATGCCATATGTCATGGCACAAGCAGCATTAACCACAGCTCTTTGCACAGTGAGGAAAATCCTTACTACGCTCACACGCTTTGCTTTGAGTTGCGGACTATATAGACTCTGGAAGATATATTTAGAGCCTGTGTTCTGAAGTTGAAAGGTAGCTGGGACAGCCATCTTCCTTTAGTTGAGTTTGCTTACAATAACAATTACCACTTTAGTATTCTAATGGCACCATATGAGGCGATATATAAGAGGACGTATATATTGCCTTTATATTAGATAGAATTGAGTGAGAGGAGTATGTTGAGACTAGACATTGTGGATCAGACAAATTAAAAGATTGACTTGATGAGGCAAAAGTTGTTGACGGCTCATAGTAGGTAGAAGAGTTATGCAGATAGGCATAGAAGGCCATCAGAGCTTTTGACAAGAAACCATGTATTTCTGAAGGTTATACTAGTGATGAAAATTGAGAGGTCGCTTAAAGCCAAAAAGTTAACTCCTCAATTCATTAGTCACTTTGAGATTATAAAGAGAATTGGACTAGTTACCTATAGAGTTGCTTTATCGTAGTAGTTATCTAGTATGCATGATGTGTTCCATGTATCACAACTTAAGAAGTATTAACCAGACCCCTCTCATGTGATGGAACTAAAAGAGATTAAGCTAGAGGAGAATTTGACTTATAAGACTGAGCCAGAGTGGATTATGGATGTAAAAGTCAAACAATTGAGGAGCAAAACTATATGATTAGTGAAAGTTTTCTAGTAAGGCATGGCTCCTAATGACACTACCTGGGAGACAAAGGAGAAAATGAGGTAACAATATTCTCGTTTGTTTCCATAAGTATGTGTTTAAGGGTTTAATTAATTTTGGGGGCAAATTTCTTAAAAGGAGGGGAGAACTGTAACATTCTAATTTTCTAATCCTGTGATTAGCTATTAATCAAGGGTGGAATAGTAATTATTAAATGATTAGAATTTTACATGAAAGTTTGGTGTTTTGACTCACTAAGATGCTAAATGAACAGGTTCAGGTGAAAGAATGTGTCTCGAAACAAAGGTGTGTGTACGGTGAGAATTTTTCTTAACGTGTTATATGTCATGGCTGATGTTGCTTGCGCTGTGGCACATTGCATAGAAAGTGGCTTAATAAGTCATGAATTTGCATGATAGTTTAGAAAGGGGAGGAAGGTTTTCACAACTAGGGCAAGGGATTTCAGAACATTGGAAGGCACTTTCGACCAGTAACTTATTGGGTAAGCTTCGTACAACCTTACCTCTAGTTCTACTCTAATTTCTCTTAGTATGAGTTATAGAGAAATTGAATCAGTAAAATTTAAGAAGTTTGTTTCTTACCCTATAGTAACAAAAAGTTTTCAGGAATTAAATAAAGCTTTATAACTAGTTTGGAATTGAATGATAGAACTTTGAACCTATAAGCTTAACTTAGCCTTAAACTAAGACAAAATTAGGCGTAAAAATTATGTTTAAGTGAAATGAGATTGTTTAAAATGATGTGAAGTGATAATTGAGTGGTAGTGAGCTTAGATAGACTAAGTGGAAGAAATAGATGGCTAGTTATGGCTTTGACTAATAATTAAGTATTTTTAGTCAACTAGATCAATTGACTAATTGTGCCAAATGTAAGGTAAGAAAGGAAGTTGTAACAAGTTATAGTAGTAATCAAAAATTCACGGATAACCTTTCTTATCACAGAAGGGTTGAGATAACTGAATAAATTTTTTTATTTGACCATTTATTGTAACTGTGTGTAAGCATGCTATCTAGTGCATGAAACTATTTTAAACTGAGCGTGTTTTGTGTTATTGCATGGTTATTGCTTGAAAATAAACTTTTACAAAACAACTGAGTGAAATCATATGATAGTATTGTGTGTGTATGTGTAGTGGTAATGGGGAACCTATAATTGGTTCAAAAAGCATGATCATAGGGGTGAAAGTTCACCCATATGAAGTATAGTAAAAAATCATATGGCATCATTTTCCTTAGTGCCCGATGGAGCATCGTGTTAAAGAATAGTATCTCCTTAGTGCCTTTCAAGGTATGGAGTTGGAGATTATCTCTTTAGTGCCTATTAACTGCAGCGTTGGAGATTTTGACCTCTTAGTATTGATATGATGCAGAGCTGGAGTCAACGATACTCCATTGTATGTATTAGCGAAAACCATAGTCTAGAAGTAAGATAGAACACTTTGGCTAGGTGATTCTACAACTAAAGGTGAGCTCAAGGCCAATGAGGGTTTATATTGATCTAAGGTGAGCCTATGGTTTCAAGTTAGGGTGGTTTAGAGGCTCGGTTGATTGTGATCATACTATATGTTAGAAAATTGGTGGAAAGCAGTAAATTGTGGTGAATATAGTTTTAAAAGTGATGAAATGATATATATTGATGAGATTTAAAGTAAAATGTATATTATATGTTATGCTTAATTATATATTATGCTATACTTGCTTATGGTTGCAGGTGATAGTTGACAATAGAGTTATTCTGTTACTGAAATTTTTATCTCACCTTGTGGTTACATTTTACATGTTAGAGTGGTGATCATGGCAAGGGGAAAGAGTTAGGATTTATATAGTTAGTGTCGAGGCTATGAAATATCTGAGATTGTGTAATGAACTAAAATTTAATGTGAACACTGTGTATATAAGTTGCCATAGGGATTGCATGCATGTTTAAATTATGATTTGGAGTAAATTTGTAGAGATTTTGTAAATCTTAACCCATATGTGAAAATGTTTGATGAAATGATTAACAGGGGCTAAGATTTAGTTATATGTATGCTATGGATGTGTAAAGTTGTAATTTGTGTGAATTCATGGTAAAAATGGCCAAGTGGGTCAGTTTATATTAAGTGGTAAATAGTTATTGAAATATGAAAATGGGCTGTGGAATGGCCAAAATGTGATACATGTGTATTTATAATATAAAATGTGGTCAATAAGGTGTAATAGGTCTTTTTGGACTTGGTTTAAGGCCTAAAATGATCTAATGAGATAATGTAAGCAATTTATATGCTTGGGTGAGCTAAATTTTTATAAAAAGTGACTTTTTTCACCCTAGGTGTTCAAATTTTAATCGGACCATGAGATCGTGTCCAAACTTATCTCATTAGTTAGCTTATAAGTCAAGCTTTGTGTGGGCACTTGAATCACTCTAATCGAATATCGTATGTGAAAATAGTACATGCCAAAAGTTCACCTTAAAAACTATCACATGACAGTTGCGAAAACTGGCACATGTGCCGTGGCATATTGAATATCATGTAACAAGGCATGGTACAGAGAAGGTCAAAACTCATGGCTCTGTACCATATGCCATGACGCATGTGATGCACGCTGTGGCACGTAGACCATTATCTGACCTTTTTCCTTTATTTTAAAGGCATGCAATAATTGATATTTATTATTACCTAAATAATTTAAAATAATAAATCATAATTATTAAATTATTTATTTATAGCATAATAATAAAGTATATATAAATATATATTATAAATTATATAATAAAATTATAAAAAATTTGTGATAGAATTATGATAAAGGTTATGCTATTACAAAATTGGAATAAGGTATCTTAAAATTTAGTAATGGACATTTCCATCAATAAATTCCATGGCTAAATTATTTTTGACGATTTAGTAATAGAATTTTTAGTACAGATTATTCCGTCGATAAATTCCAATAGCAAAGTTATTTCTGATGGTTTAACGAGGGAATAATGATAGAATGTTTCGCATTCTATTGGTAAATTAGCAAAGGAATTAACAACTGATTAGTGATGAATTAGCAATGAAAATTTATTCCACTGCTAAGTCATTTCTTTTTTTTGCTCAAACTTAAAAGTTAATAATAGCTTCAATGTAGTAAATGACTACTTTCATATAGATAGTGAATAAAATAACACAAGAAATGACTACATCCATTTCTAAATTTTATTTTCTAAGTGTTCAATCCTGAAGGTAAATGACAATTTCAAAATAACATATGACCACTTTTATTAAGCAAGTGACTAAAATAGTGTAAGAAATGAATACTTTGATATCTAAATTTCATTTTATTAAAAAATTATTTCCTTTATGTAGGCAACGATTAAAATAGTGTAAAAAAAATAACTACTATTTCAGCATTTCATTTTTATCAATTTTCAATCCTTAAGGTAAATAACAATTTCAAAGTAGCAAATAACTAATTTCACATAGGCAATGACTAAAATATTGCAAGAAAATACTACTTTCATTTTTTAATTTCATTTCATGTGTGTTCAATCTTGAAGGTATATGAAAAATTTAAAATAGAAATGACTACTTTCATTTAGTCAGTGACTAAATGGTATATAAAATTAGTACTTCTATCTTTAATTTCATTTTATTAGTGCTCAATCTTGAAGGTAAATGAAAACTTTTATAGTAGCAAATAATTCCTTTCATATAGTCAATGACTAAAATAGTGTAGAAAATGACTACTTCCATTTTTTGAAATGATGAGAAAATCATAAGCAATGATAACTACCTAACATTTTGCTGTCAGGTACATAACATTGCATAATTACATTAGCATACATGACTAACAACATATGTTCCTAGTTCTTACAACCTTTCTCCCAAAAATATATCAAGCATTGAAACTATTTCTATATACAAATTGTTTTAGCAATGTCATTCCCAACAACCTAAAAAAATATGTTGTTCCATATTGACTATACAAGTTCTATAAAACAAGGCAACTTCTCCTTGATCTTATCCATTATACTCTTTTTCTTCTTGTGCTCATGATGCTTGTGCCTAGTATCATGGTGCTTTCCTTAGCAATGGTTGTTGTCATTGTCAAAGTTGGAATTTGGCCATGATTAATAGCCATCATTGTCATACTGGTACTTATGGTTGTCATCTTCACATTCCCCTAATTTTAGGGATAATTTATATCTCCTCCTCCTCCCCCTAATTAGATTTTGTGTTTTTTGGATGATTCATGAGTTACCATTACAAGTGACTTTGATAAAGTCAATTTATTCCATGTTTTTTGGATAGAGTTCTACATTATAGACAACTTTATGGATAAATCTTGCTAGCTCCATTTTGTATGTAGCAACAATGGCTTTCTTCCTCTATTTTATTCTAATCAAGTTCAATTGGTTTCTTAGAAATGTTGATATGCACCATAGGATAAAAAGTTTTAGACATTTAAACACCCCTAGGACTTGTGAAGTTTCTACAAAATATTAAGAGCTAGTTAATTATATATTAGCTATAAAAGAGAAACATAAAGCATTATAAAAAGTACACCAACTAGAAACTCTTCCACACTCCTAAAAAAGGCAAAAAAGAAAATGAACAAGTCATAACTTTAGAGTCACATAAAGATGCACTTCTTAATTGTCAATTGTAGAAGCTAGAAACCATTTTTTGGAACAATGATAGTAAATACTTACTTTTTAGTTCAATGACATACAAATTCTAGATAGTCTGTTGCTTTACTTCATATTCAATAAAATTATAGTCACTTGTGCTTCTTTTTCCCTCTTTCCATATGCTGCTTGTACCATTTCCCACTATATATTGCATACAAAATTGAATCGAATATTATTTTCAAACAATAACAATTGGAAAGAGACAATTATAAAATATACTGCACCAAGTTCATCAAATAGATCTTCTCACTATCCAATTACACCTAATGCAACAACAAGGATCTTATCTTTGATTAATAACATATTCTTTGAAAGATTAATCACATATTCAATATTGATAATCCACTCAGTTTGGATGATGATGCTAAGAATTTTACATAGATAAGGCATTGAATAGATGCAGTGTATCTAGTTGCTCTACTTGAGCTTTTGATAAGTCACATTTATTATACATTTTTCCTTATTATTGATGACCAAAAATCATGTTATATTGTCCTAAATTGCACACTTATTGCATTGATTGTGAAAAAATCACATAAATGTAAAATTTAGTGCATTAGGGAAATTTTAGTCATAAAATTAGACTTTTGAAAAAAAAAATTCAAAATGCATTTTTAGGGCAAAAGAACAATACTCCAATTTTATTTCTCAAATTCACTTTAAATTAAAAGTAATTAATTTAACAAGTTAACTATTTTGAAAAGTCAAAGTTTCAAGTTGACCTATTTTTTAAACTTGGGCTAGATCATTTTTTGTGCATATGTGGGTTTAAATTTTTTTAGGGCTCAAAGTCATGTGTCAAAGCCTTTTTTATGATGTCATATTTAGAATTAATTTAAATTGGATATGCAATTGTTATCAATATGTTTTGAACTTTGATCTTGTTATCACATTCATTTGTGTAGGGTTTTATCCTTAGATAGAAGTACAAGCCTTGAATGGTCTTGTACACATTATACCATACTTTGATTCCACTCACACTCTCTCTCTCTCTCACAATTTCTTAATACCTTTAGTTTTATTTAATTCAGATTTTTAGACTTGGTAACTCTAAATTTTCAGTCATATTACCCTAGTGAAAATAAAATTATTCTAACTCATTTTTCACCCATCCATTAAACACTTGAATTGGGCCCATTTAACCTAAACTTGAATCAAACTACCCTAATTTCATTTGTCATTCATTCCCATTCCATTTCTAAAAAATCATGCCTCCCTTGCTCCATTCTCTCTTAATTATTCTTCATGTTCTTCATCTCCATCTCACCTTCTCTCCTCCATAACTCATGATCCAACCATCAAAACCATAATCCAACTCCACCATTGTTCTTCTCTCACCTCACACTTTAAACCCTAGTGCTTTGTTTCATGGTTTAGCTTCAAAATCTTCAAGCTGTTCATGAGCATGGTTCTACCATTATTGAAGAATTATGTCCAAGTAGATTCCAATATGCCTAGGGACTAAATCTACAAGGAGTGCTAGGAGTAAAGGATGCTAGAGGAGCCTTAAAGTGTTTTAAAGAAGGTTGATTAAGGTCATGCCATTCTCCAATCAAACCTAGGTTAACGTAATCTTATTCTTAAAATTAGGAGCATTGTTATATCTTGTTCTTATTAACCAAAATTGGTATTTAACCTAATGGTTTATTGTTTTTCTACTTGAATTTCCTTTGTGCAGTTGTTGGAAATTTTCTCCAATTCATTGTGAGTCATATAAATATATGTTTTATGTGCAATGAATGTGTCTTACATTGCCATGTATTAATATGTTTGGTTGGCATTTAATAAATTCTTTTGTATGCAAAATTATGTACTAGACTTGTGTTAGGTTGTGCTATACTAGGGGAACCTATAGGGAATTTCAATCACTTTACACCTAACTAAGGAATTGAATAGGGAATTGTACAAAATTATGCAAGGCCTTGGTTAATTGAGTTGGTTAGGAAGACAAACTTATACAAAATTGTGTAAGGGATTTAATTTGCTCAAGAGAGTGGAAATTAATCTAAGCCTGACTAAATAGAATAGACAAGGAATCTAGCATCCCATAACTCCTAAGATTCCAGTTTAGAAAGTTTTAAACACTCCCTTTTTCATTTCACTAGTTAACTAGGACTTTAATTAAATCTATCCATTTAGTTTAATTAGTTAAAGTTAATAAACTCTTAGTTTATTTGGTTCACTAGTTACCCTTAATTAATCTTAGTTAGCGTCCTTAGTGAAGAATGACCCATGTTGTCACTAGTACTATATTAGTGTTAACTTAGCTATTTTAAAGTGTAAGCAACCTATCACTCCATGCCGTTGTTGAAGAGGTAAGGCTAAGTTTATTTAGGCATAATTAGTGTTTTTGTTGCAGTTGTGTTTTCCTATGTTTTTGTGATTTTTTAGTGTTTCTGTTAGCTTGGATTTTGAAAATAGCATAAAACTAATTTTCACTTTTTCTCCAACATTTTGGATGAATTTCAAAAAATTTTTGAGAACTTCTCTTCAAGAGAAAAATTATCAAATTTGGTATTTTGGAATATTTTTGTGTTCATTTTATGTTTGCCAAATTTTATGGTTTTTAGACTTGTAATTTTCTCTATGTACATTTTTAAAACCAACAAGGTTAAATTTCCTGTTTTGGAGAAATCCAAAGCTTTGAGGCAACTTGTGTAGTACATTTCTCTGTGTACTTATTCAGATTAGGTCTTTTTTAGCTCATTATGCTCTTTGTTATCTTAACTATAATTTTTATGCTAAGTGTTTTTATTTTCAGAATTTGCAACATTTTTGAATTTGACGAAAAGGATCGCTAGGTCATTTTGAAAGGAATTCTATCTCTAGAGTGCTGGAGCCTAACTTTAATGAATTACTCAGAAGCTTCTATCCAATCAAAAATTTTGAAATTCTAATATATATTTTTCTTATATCTCCTATATTTTCTTATAGTTTTTCTGGTTGATTGAACTAGTGGATTGCTCTAGGGAGGACAGACAAGCTACTGGATGTAGAAATAGGGCACACTTCTAGTATTGAAGCTTCATGAGCATTTCTAAGCCTTATTCATTTTAATTTTGCTTTGGACGCTGCTTGGCTATTTATTAGCGCTTTTCTGAGTTGTGATTTATGTTTTTCCTTTTGCTTAGTTTAAAAAAGATTTACTTTTTTGCATTTTCACTTTTGAGTCTTCTTTTCTTGCTTGAGTCCCAAGAAATTTCTATTTTGAATTAGTTTTAGGGTTTTCTTTTTTTTGAGTGTTTTTTCTCATTTTCTTTGTGTTTGATTTTCTTGAATCATTGATTTTTACTTTGTGTTTCTCTTTTAGTGCAAGACCTGTGGGCATCCTAGGGAATAAGTTTCTTAATCCTAAAATTGAAAGGATCTTAAGGTGAATTAGGAGAGAACAAAATTTGTTTACTGTAGATTCTAATATGGAAAATCCTAATTTGAATGGTTTAGAACAGCTTAGTATGCCTCAAAAGTTTAACAATGAAGTGCAAAACCTACCCCAAAATGTTATCTAACATGGGGTGCAAAATGCCAATGTGGGTGCACCTAATATAAATCAAGGGCAAAGCTGAGTTGCTCCTAATGGCAATGGCAATAGGCAGGCCCATAATAATAGGGTGAATAGCTATCAAGGGTTCAATTGAATAGAGAAGGAGAGGAGCATTATAATCCCCTCGATGAAATCTCAATTAGGCAATTAACTATATCTAATTGGCATGATAATCCATATGGTGTGTATGTTCCCTAACTGATGTAGGTTTTGAAATTAAGTATGCTCTTATGTAATCATTACCAAAATATAATAGATTGCCTAGTAAGGACACTCTTAGATTCTTGCATTACCTATACCTTGTTTGTAGCATAATGAAACTAGTAAGGGTGCATATAGATGAAGTCCAAGCTAGATGCATTATTTTTTTTTTCTTGCAAGTAAAGCCAAAGATTGGTACATGAATTATTCCCCTTAGATTAAGGTGCGCGCATACATGGGACCAACTTCAAACAATTTTTCTTGAGAAGTTTCTCCCTTCTTCTAAATTATCTAGCATGATAAAAGAGATAGCTAGTATGGTCTAAGGCTTTGATGAGTCTTTTTACAAGTACTATACTGAACTTCAAGGATTGCTGGCAAAATGTCCTCATCTCCAAGTACCTAGAGAGCATCTTTTGCAATATTTCTATAATGGTTTGATAGATAAAGATAATATTGTGATAAATACAGCTTCAAATGCTGCTTTGTTGACTTGTCACTTAATAAAGCTTGGGATTTGATAGAGAAAATGGCTCAAAGTAGTGCTCAATTTGGGGACAAGAGAGTCTAGGGTAGCTTGGGTTACTACTAACCCTCTTATCATTAACCCTTCTCAAGTTGTTAAAATAGCCTATTGATAAGTCATATTTGTTACAGACTTTTTTTAGGCATTTAGGGCCACATTTCATGGTAAGAAATCCTAAAATGTGCATTCTTAATGTTAAATTAGGGTTTTAGGCCCTAGTGAGAATGTGTGCATATTAGAGATATTTTGGTCATTTTGTACTTTATTAAGAATTCAAGGATAAATTTGAAATTTGATGCGTGCATTAGATTTAGGTCCATTAGATACTTTTCATTGCTAATTAGGACCATTTTTATAGGTTAAGAGTCTCCATATGCATTGATATCACATTCTTAGTGCAATTTTGCTTTAGTGTTCAAATACTTGCATTAGGGGTAATTTGGTCATAAAATGTACTTTTTCACCAAATGAGGGTTAAGCTAGAGATTTATGTATTTTAATAAGCTAAGATAATTGGTCTAATTAATTTTCATTGATTCATCTTAGGTTAAGAGTTATTAGAAAAAGATAATATTTCAAGGTTATCTTCCCTTGATTTTAGTTCAAGTGTGTGCTTGTCTATACTTGTGTCTTGTGAGGCTCTTTTCCTTTAGTTATTTTAATACCTTGGATGAATTAAATATTTTATATCTTAGTTAATTAAATAAATGTTACACTATAGTTATTTGATTATTTGATTTAATTGTGATTTAAGTGAATTAGTGTGACAAATAAAGATATAACTCAAAGTGACACTTTGCATAGAAGAGGCTTTAGTTTAAGACTTGGTTTGGCATAAGGGAGAGCTAAGGAGCACGAAATTTCAGACCTAAATAGGCTTCAAAATGGTGTGATTTATCAAGTCTAATGAGGTACACATGAAGTTTTCATGCACTTGCACACATGGGATCAAGTTGACTTGTCAAAGTTCAAGATAATTGCAATGTGTTTAAGAAGCTTGGAAGTAAATTTCAAATCTGAATTTGAATGGCATTAGAGGAGTAAATTCCAAGGAAATTAAGGGAACATAAGAGCTTATCATGTCTATGCACATATGGGATTAGAAGAGCAATATTGGAATTATCACCCAAATTAAATTGCAACCTAGACTACCTTTAATCTCACTTGACCTAATGACTTATTTTGAGTTTTATGACAACTTCTTTAGTAGGTCACCATCATATTTTCGTCCAATAACACTTATTAACTAGGATTGTATGAATTTTTTAGATCATTCACTCATATTTTCATATTTCAAACTTTAAGTTCATCAAATCCTCTCATTTCTTTCTCTACACTTCTACTTTCTCTCCTCTATATCTCTCAATCTAACCATTCAAATTTCACAAAACCACCACCATTCTCTTCGTCTTTTCTTCCTTTAAATGACCTAATAGATTTCTTAAGGATCAAGTCAAGATTTATTTAGGCGAAATCATGGCAAAGAAGACCATAATCTTGAAGCTTCATCTCATTCATCACTTGAAGATGCAAGGTCAGATTCTTTAAGGAGCTACTATGTGAAGAAGAAAACCTTGAGTTTGTATTATTTTCTAGTTGAATCTAAATTTTTTCTCTTTGCTTCTCTCTTTAGAATTATAAATTTGTATGACTCTTTAATCTTGTAATCTCAAGTGATGATTCATTTGATTGAGAGAAGCTTGTTGCAAGTTTAGTTTTACTATGTCTAGTGCATAATTTTGGCTTCTTTGAGTTGTGTCATAATCTTGATATAGCTTGATGAATTTAATATGTTTTCTTGCTTGTTATAATCTTGCCAACTTAAATGCATGTGAATACCATTATGAATCACAATCTTGAGCATGTTGATTTCTTCATATTTACTTGACCTAATTGAATCATGTTTGTAACACTTTAGTTAGACTTAATGCTAGCTTTGCTTTGGCTCACTCTAAGGCCATAATCTTGGATTGGAGTTGGTCAAGATATTAGCTAAGTCTTGATTAATATAACTAAGCCACTAAAACTAAAGAAAAGAGAGACGAAGCCAAACTAGCTAAGTTATAATCAAACAAGGATAGGTGATAAATTTCACATAATATGATTTACTTTCATATAGTTGTATGTGATAGTCAATAGGAGTGAGTTTTTAACATCCCAAAAATTTAAAGACTCAAATTTATTTTAAAAATAATAATAAAATAAAATAACTATAATTAAATTAAAATTTAGAATAATTTGATAGAGGTCCACAGTTTGAATTTTTCTCAGCAAAAGTTTGGTTTTATTTAATTTTTAACTATGGGAAAAATTACTAAAGTTGACCCAGGCTTGTGTGCTATAATAAAAAATTATAGGCCCTTTATTGTAATTTTCTCCAAAGTCTAATATCAGTAATTTAAGAAGGACAAAGAACGCAGAAACTGAATTGGAAAGGAAAAAAAAACAAAATGCACGAGAGAGAGGAAGAGGAAGAAGAGAGGAGAAAGAGAGGGAGTTAGGCTTGAATCTAGGAGGCTTTACGATCATTGCGAGTTCGGCTACACGATAGGTAAACTTCTTACTTTAATCCTCTTCCCTTTCTCTTGATTTTCTTCAATTTTTGAAAGAGGTAATTTCTAAATTTTGATCCCAAAGGCTTTATTCTTGTAAGCTTTTGTTTTTTTGGATCTTAGAGAGGATGTTTTGAGTTTTTATATGGTATTCTAATGTTTTGAGTGGATAATTGGATGAAAAGAGGTATTTTGAGCACAAATTAAAACCCCAGAGGTTGGGTTTTGCTCTTCAATAATTTAAGTCTATTGATTTAGTTATGATTTTACCATTTGAGCCCAATGAGATTTAAATTAAGGTTTAGTTTTCATTATAAGGGCTAATGGTGAAAGTTGGTGACACTAAGTGAAGGTTTTTAATTGATTAAAAATTATATAAATTGAAAATTAGCCTAGTGATGGATAATAAATGATTTTGGTGGTTAAGTGATACTATGTGAATAGTTGGTTTAATATATGGCCATTAGAATGGATTATAACTCATTGACCTAAGTTGTGTGGTATGAGTTATAATCTTCATTAATGCTATTTGTCATGATAAGTGATGTGGATCACTTATATGTTGTAGGGATTGTTGGTGGAATTTGTTTAGAAGTTAAGGAACAAGCCGAGTCCTATTTTATACAAGAGTAACCTTTTTGGTACCAAAGGGTTGAGGTAATAGGGAAATTTATATTTCTTATTGCGGGAGCTTTTCAAAACAAGTAACAAATGTGGACACAGTCCACGAGGGTAAATAACCAAACGCGACTCTTGTCACGAAGACAAACATGGACACACAGTCCACGAGGGCCAGTAACCAAACGCAGCAAAAGCCACGAAACAAACGTGAGTACAATGCTCATGAATAACCATCCCTTCGTTTCATGTGCGTTGGCCATCGCACGGGGCTAGCACTTCCTATAAACACCCTGCTAACTAGGTGTACCATGGCGTGCCAAGGGTTAACGGAACTGCCGTTAACAACTAGTATTCTGTATAAAGTTTCTTTTTAAAACCATTTTCAAACATGCAAGAAAATCATCACTTTCAAGATACAGTTCTCATTCTTAAAATTAAACTCGCATGAATATTTTTAAGCATTAAAACTTATTAGAATAAAATTTTCATATCCAATGCTCATGCTTGCATTTATTGAATAAAAAAAAAATTTTAACATCAAATTCGCATAAATTATTCTTTGTATCAATCCAATATTTGATAAAATAAAAATCTTATAATCAAAATTCAAACTTGATTTAATTAATCGAATAACATTTCAAATTTGGTAAAGCTAATTTTTCAAAATAAAGTAATGTTAATCAACAAATATCCAATAATGGCATTAATGCTATTAAAATGATTTCTAGAAAAATGAAATATTTTAGTAAAGGAAATTTTGATAAAAAAAAAAACAATTGGGACGCTATCCACTTACCTGACAAGTTCTCAAACGTAAAATTTACTTCTACTTGGCACTCTTACGTCAATGCTTGATCTCTAAGTTCCTAATATCCAATTAATATCATTATCATTTTCTTATACGTGCCTCATCATTCAAAATCTTCAGTCCAAAAATGATTAAAAATAAAAGATAAAACCCTCAACTTTAAACTTTCTCAGACATTACACCAAACACTTCACAATATTCCAAAGATGAATATATATAAATAATTTGGTCTTGAATTACCAACAAAGTCTCTTTTTCTAAAATCTCTAATTTCAAATATTCCTGTGTAGAAAATAAGTGTCTTCCATATTTATAACTTTTTATTAAAACACCAAATGCACATAAATTCCAAATCCCTCCGTAAGGCTTTTCAACTTTCAAATGTTTTGTTTGACAATTTCTTTACAATCATATCTACATTGTATTTGTGAGCAAATTTTTAGAGAATATCAAACTTAATTCACAAGTCAATAGCATCTGATCCACTTAGGTCTCTCAAAGAATTTAATGAAATTTTATAAAATACACAATCAAGTCCATCTAGCTAGCATTTTATCAAAAATCTTATGGGCACCACTCAACAAGCTTCAAGTCTAAGTTCTTTTATCCAAATCTTATCTTAACTAATTCTTCAATATCAACCAATCCAAACAAACTAATTTAATTCAAAAATTCTAACCTAAATTTATCATAATCTTGCTCTCAGCACAAAAGTTTCAGCTTAAACTCTTTTCTCTCTCTCTCTCTCTCAACAGTCATGAACAACAGCAGCCGAAATTCAAGAGAAAATTGGCAACTTCAATTCTATCACAGCTTACACTTACACGCACAGATTTTTCAACGAAAATAGGAAATCGTGGTTCCTCGCCTCAATAGAAACAGCAGAACAGAGCAGCAAAAAGGAGAGGAATGTTTGAATCCATGCTAAAACACAATAGAAAAGAGAGATGACGCATCAAAATTGGAAGGTGACGAGGAAAAACCTGGAGCTCAACCTGTCACAGCTGCTCAAACAGAGGGAGGAGAGGAGAGGAGTTCACAGTAAAAAAAAACAGGGGAGGAAGAAGCCCAATGAGAACGCGCGCCACAGCACTGTCAAAGGAAGGGGTTTCAGTGTTTTTCTCCAGTCACCAGCAGCGGACGGCGAGAAGGAAGAAGAGTCTTAAATGCTAACAGAGGAAGAGCTTCGACAGAGCTTCCATGGTCTTCAGCAGCGACGAACGGTAAGGAAAATGAAAGGGAAGAGAGACTTGAACATTCACATCATCACTCGCACAGAGGAAGGAGAAAGACGTTGATGATCTGACAAGCAGTGACGGATGAAGCTTTGGCACACTCTCACTTGATGACGCCGAAGACGGAAGAAGATGGAGAAGGAAAGAAAATCAAAGAACTCCTTGTCTCTCTCTGATGCTGACCGAGAAAGGGAAGACAAATTTTTTAAATCATAAAAAGTAAAATTACAATAACCTCCTTAGATATTTTTGCTGAGTTGCCATAGAAACAAGGGCACATGTGTAATTTCTCACCCTGCAGGAAGAAAAATCTGACACTAATAAATAATTGAAAAAAATTACAGAACAGAGCACAATGAAAATTACAACAAAAAACACAAGATTTCTCTATAATTGAAAACAAAATAAAATCAAATTTTTACCGAATAAAAAATTTAAACTATAAAACTTTAAGAAAGTTATTAACATAAGTTTTATTAAATTATCTCTCTCCACTTGCTATAAAATTAATTTAAATAAAATATTATTTAAAAAAATTATTAATTTATGTATTTATTTTTTATTTTAAATTTAGGGTCATTACAATAGGAATTAAATGCTTAGCATTTTGGTCAATATTATGCAAAATACAAGAAAACATGTGAATATTCCAAAATTCTAAGAGGAATCCTACATTATATACGCATGTATGCATGTATGTGTATATCTATATATATATATATATATATATATTTTTCCCCGAAGAGTGTTACGTGGTTAGCATCCCAGAAACAAAAAAAAAAAAAAAAAAAAAAAAAAAGACAAACAAACAAACAAACTCATCAATAAAATTGGAATTGGATAGATACCATTTGCAATAATTCATCTAAAGACACCCTCACGGATGATGATAATGATTTTGATTTTTGACATAATAGAAGGTCAATTCTATCAAATATAGAGTACTTTCCTTGATAACTCATGATTTATTGGCTATACTAATATCTACAATTACTTTTGAGGATGTGTTGTTGATTATAGGAATTCTTTATTTCCCATGATGACTAAGGTTCTCATTTATATCCAAAATTAGCTAAGTACAGGGAAATCTCTATTTGAATTTGCCTTTATGGTTCATGAATTTAAAAACTTCCAAGAGACTCATGATGTGGTCAATATTACAAATAATGTTTTCAATTTTATGCTTCCTAATCTAATTTTATATATTGCATTGTTTTTTTTATGAAAGGGAAAAATATATATTGCATTGTTTCTAATAACTTCTTCAAATATGTGTGTGCAATTTGTTTTTGACAGATAAATGAAGTGTAATTGATATTAAAGTAGATGATCGCATGAAAATTGGTTGAAGTTTGTTGTTGGCATGTATTGTAGTTTAGACTTATTAAAGTTTGTTGAAGATTGTCATGGATTTGTTGTTGAATATTGTTGGAGGTTGTCATAGATTTATTATAATTAGGTTTTAATGTTTTGTGTCAAATTTTACTCTCTCCAGACTACAATATAAAGTATTTTCTAAAAACCATGCTTGGTTCAAAACATATGATATTAAATAATTTTTATATTTATTTTTTCAACTATACCCTACTTTATTTATTACTTTTTTTAAAAAAAATCACATACTAAAATTTTAATTTCTGGCATTGATGCTCTTATATAGAGTATTTAGTGAGAATATAAATGAAAAATGTGAATATTTTTTTGAATTTAAAGTTTCGACTACCTATATTATCGTAAATCATGAATTAATTAAGTATGACATATTCCCTCTAGTTCAATTTATAAGACATTTTTTATGGGTAATTTTTTATCCAAAATATAGGATACTTTGTAATAATTAAACTATTTTTTTTAATTTTACCACTTCTTGATTAGCATAAAAATATTTAATATAGTTGTATTATTATTTAAAGTTAACATTAAAAATAAAAGTACCTCTCACTTTTTTATGATATCAAGAGAAAAAATTAATTTTTTAAAATGTGTAAAATAATTATAAAATATTTTATAATAAAAACAAGAAAGAGTATATTATATTATATTATGGAGGGAGCGTATATGATTATAAGATTTGTTATCACCTAATCCAATACTTTACTGAGATAGACATCCCTTCTCAAAAATTCTATTTAAAATTATTTTTATTTTATTCTTCTAAAAATTGATATTTTATAGAACATGTTTTGAGAATAAAAAAATAATAAAAATAAATATTTTTTTTATTTTTTTTAATTTTTAAAACAATAATCCCTGAATATTTAAAAGTTATTTTTATTTTTTTATTTTTTTAAAATAATATTTTATTGTTCTATTTTTTATTGTATTTTTTAAAAATATGTTATCAAATATATTTTTTTTATTCTCTTATTTAAAAAAATAGAAAACTATTCTCCAAGCAAATTTCTAAATAGCCCTTATTCTCTCAAGTTCTCAACCCCCTCGAAATCGTGGCTGTCACTCACTGGCTTGCTCCCATTGAGCCACTCCCTTGTCGTGCCGCCTCGCGACACGCTGTAGCTCCCTGGATTGATTCCGACCCTGCCTCCCTTGAGCTTGAGGCCAGCACTCCCCATCTCCAGTTAACGCTTCCACCCTCCATTTCAACTAATACGGCCGACGCGTCTCTGTAGCTCGCTCCCTCTGATTTTGAAATTCTCTGTACTGTAGCTCGCTCGATCTATTCATCTTCATCTTCTCTCGTCGCGTTCCGTCCAGTGGTAGATAGATAGCTGATAGCTCTTGTATTGCGGGGAGACACAAGTGAGGATTTCCTATTCTTGTCCTGCCCTTAAGGTTTTTGAGTTGACCGTAATTACTGAGATTTAGAGTTCAATCTAGCCATCTGTGTCTCTGCTGTCTCAACTTTTCTCACTAGTGGTGAAAATTTTGTTCATCTACGGACCGTGGTTCAATTTAGCATTGTGACTTAATCTTTAACTGTACGTGATTAACTGACAACGTGCTGGCATATATATTATTTTATCTTCCTCATTAATCTTTATAAAGTGTTCAAAGGGAATTATAGTGGAATTCTATCAATTTGGTGTTCAATTTTGTGAATTTAAAATTGAGACTTTGAAATTGAAGAATCAATTGCATAGAGACATTCAGTTGCTTTAATAGATTAATTAATTTAATATCATTTATGTTCTACGCCTCTACGGTAACCTAGTGTGATTCAAGCATTCAGACATTGTGTGCTGGAAAGTTCCTGACCTCTCAAACGTCTAGGCAATTGGTCGTAGTTCTTTTACTTCAGTTATCTTCACTGTTACTATCTCTTGTTAGCTATAATATCCCTGGGAGCCATTAGCTAGCTGTCTGAGTGAATATTGATACTTAAACTATTCAGTTCCACCAATTAGTCGAAGATTTTAATATTATTTGTTGATGAAATTATGCAAAGCTATTATACACTATGTCCCATGACTCTATTTGGATCTTGTATGAGCCTTCTCAAAGTCACAACAGTATCTTTTTCTCCTTTTTTTCCTTGTGCATCTGATAAAGCAATTTTCTTTGTTTTTTTGTTTTTTCATTTTTATTATGACATTGGAGCATATGATGTTCTTGTGTTTGAAGTAATTTTGCTTAAGTTGTTTCGACTGTGTGTGTGTGTGTGTTTTTTTTTTTTAATTGATTACTAATGCACATCTTCGAACTGGCAGGGGTCAGTAAAAAATCATTAAATTTTATGAAATCTTCGCAAACATCTTTTGCCAGCCACAAACATGTGCCCTCCTTCCCATCCTCAAGATCTTCTCTGCCATGGATATCTCCCCTTCAATTTACAAAAGCTGCTGCTCGTAAGCCAGATCCTCCCCCTGAATTCAGCATCAGTCCCACCGAAACTGGGAGGAAATACAAGTATATCTCTCATGAGTCTGCCATCAGCTTGATCAAACGAGAGAAAGATCCGCAACATGCCTTGAAGATATTTAATATGGTAGCAGAGCAAAAGGGCTTCAACCACAATAATGCTACATATGCGACAATTCTCCAAAAACTTGCACAGTGCAAAAAATTTCAAGCTATTGATCTTGTTCTGCATCAAATGAACTATGAAACTTGCAAATTTCATGAAGGTATATTTATTAACCTCATGAAGCATTTTTCACACTTCTCTCTGCATGAAAAAGTGCTCCAAATGTTTTTCTCCATCCAACCAATTGTTCGTGAAAGGCCCTCTGCTAAAGCCATCAGCACTTGCTTGAATCTCCTGGTGGAATCAAAGCAGATTGATTTGGCTCAACAGTTGCTCTTGCATGCCAAGAGGAGTCTAATTCATAAGCCAAACACCTGCATATTTAATATCTTAGTGAAGTACCACTGCAAAAGTGGAGATCTTGACTCTGCCTTTGAAATTGTCAAGGAAATGAGAAGTTCTAAATTGTCTTACCCTAATTTAATTACATACTCAACCCTGATGGACGGCCTCTGTCAAAATGGAAGACTCAAAGAAGCTTTTGAACTCTTCGAGGTAATGGTATCTAAAGATCAAATCTTGCCTGATCCCCTAACTTATAATGTTTTGATTAAAGGATTGTGTTGTGGAGGCAAAGCTGATCGTGCAAGAAACATAATTGAATTCATGAAAAGCAATGGATGCAGTCCAAATGTAATTAATTACTCAACCTTGTTGAATGGCTTATGTAAGGAGGGGAAATTACGGGAGGCAAAGGAAGTATTTGATGAGATGAAGAGCTCTGGTTTGAAACCTGACATTGTAAGCTATACTATTTTGATCAATTTCTTATGTAGGAGTGGACAAATTGATGAGGCTATAGAGTTTCTTAAAGAAATGAAGGAGAATGAATGCAAAGCCGACATTGTAACCTTCAATGTGATACTTGGAGGGCTGTGCAGAGTAGAAAGGGTTGGGGAGGCACTTGAGATGCTCAAAAAACTTCCCCATGAGGGTGTCTATCTGAACAAAGCTAGCTACAGGATTGTGCTAAACTTTTTAACCCAAAAGTGTGAGTTGAAAGAGGCAATAAGATTATTAGGGCTAATGCTAGATAGGGGTTTTCTACCTCATTATGCTACTTCAAATGAACTGCTAGTACATCTATGTAAGGCTGGAATGGTTGATGCTGCTGTTATGGCACTATTTGGATTGGTAGAGAAGGGATTCCAGCCAAGGCATGATTCATGGGGATTTCTGATTGAACTAATCTGCAGAGACAGGAAGTTGTTGTATGTATTTGAGCTGCTTGATGAATTAGTAATGGCCGATTCCTGAATTTTAGAAGCCATGACAAAATAGACTGTTGATTAGGCTCATTTCATTCTGGATTTAGACCTTTTAATGTGAAAGTTGGTCTTCGACATTTAAAGTTTCCTTTGGAAGCTCACTCTTTTAAATGTTAAATTCCTTTGGCCATGTGGCACCTCCACTGATCGTGGCAAGACAGTGTTGCTGCATCAGGAGTGTGAATTCCCTCTAGACCAAAGAGAAAAAGTTTTTGACCTCAACAATATGATGGTTGTAATTGATGAATAAGGTAAAAGTCTAGTTTTATATCTCTCCTATGATTTTTTTAAGAAATTTAATTTTCTATTAAATTTAGGCCTCTACAAGTGAAATATTTTTCAAGTCGATCTGTCATTAAATTGTCTTTTTGATTTGATTTTTCACATGTGAGTATTTTTTTTTTTTTAATTTAGGTTTCTCATATAAAATTGTTATAGAGATTGGTCTTGTAAGTTATGATAATGATCTTTCGCACGTGAATAGTTCTCGATTTGATGAAGGGTCATCATTGATAATTTTATTTGTAAGGAACTAAATTGAAAGTTGTGTGTGTGTGTGTGTGTGTTGAGGAAAGATAAAATATTTGGAGTCATATTTTAAACCTACTAAATGGAAACCAAGGCGAAAAGCTGCAGACATAATAAAACATGTTATCATCCGCTACACTGGAGGAAATCTTTGTGAAGTCTTGACAACATTGATGTCCAGGCAAATTGCAATTTCTGATTCCTTAGTCAATGAGTTGAAGGAGATGAAGTTCTTTTTGACACAGCTAATATGTAGACTCATCATTGGTATGCCAGAATGCAGACAGTGTGTGAATCCACTCAAACTCAGCAAGGAGAAAGCATCTATCACTGGATGATTTCTGAAAAAGAAAACCGTTCAAGAAAGATGATTTATGACAGATAATACTTCGGCAGAAAATCTGTTTTCGATGCTTCAATTTGTAGAGCCAGATAGACCAATCATCAAAATAATGATGAGAGAGAAAAGAAATTGGTCTTTGCTTAGGTCTGGATTCTGATGTGCTCAACTAGTGACAGACATTAGAGAGGTAATGGCAATTGCTCTGGAATTCACTTGGCATTTTCGTAGCATCTGGTGGGAAACCATGATGTGTGGCATGATTCCTGTGCAACCAGAGTAAATTAAGGAGGATGAAAACCTTCCTCAAAACATCAATCTGATTCTCCTTGAAAAGTTGAGAAAAAAGCCGAAGAAGCCATACATTAACCGAGAATTCTTGGTAGAAGGTTGTCTGAAAACCAAGTGCTCCAAACCGAAAAGATCTTGTCAGATGGCAGCTTGCAAAAATATGATCTAGTGAATCTTCGGTACAATAACCGAAAGGGCACTGATTGTCAACTTTCAAGTGATGCTCTCTTAAGATATCAGCTGTTAGGAGAGCTCCATGTACAATTTTCCACACAAGCAAAATGTGTTTGAGAGGCAATTGCTACTTCCAAAAATCTTTCCAAGAAGGAAAGCTAGGTAATGGGGAAATGGATGGGGAACTGGAAGTTAAAATTTGTAACCTTGTTTGACTAAGTAATGTCTAAAATTTATGCCCGAAGCTGACAAAACTATCTTATCACAGGAGAGTGGGATTTTCAGAATGAGACCAGAAACACGTTGATCATAAATGGAGGCTACCAACTGATTGTACCACTCCTTTCGCAACCATTCACCAGATTGATGAGAGATAGTTGAGAAGTGTGGTGAATGCTCTGATTATATGAAACCACAGGAATAGATGGCTTGAACCATAACGGGTGATGAAGAGGTGTGTCATGTCTAGAACCGACTCTCCAAGAGAGGTTTGACATGATTAAATCGGCAGAGGAGCAAATATCTTTCCACATCCATGATAATGGGTAAGAAGTTCTGATAAAAGGATGAGATCATGAATCCCACATATTTCACCTTGAGGGTTGATGCGAGAATAGAATTGGATTCCGCAGACATCACTCTACAGAGTTGTTTGCAGGGAGAGACTCCTTGACTTTTGTAGCCGGTCGAAGATCCAAACCTCCTTGACTATTTGGGGGGAAAAAAATCTCTTGCTCTTGAGATGAATTCTTTGAGATCGACCCGAATCTCCCCAGAAGAAATTTAAACATAACGAATTAATTGCATTGCATACAGACTTCGGTAGCCGTACACGTGGAGAATATAGATGCAAGAAGCTGATAAAACTGATTTTATTAAGGTCAATCTTGAAGCCTGAGACAAGGGCTTAGTTCTCCATGAATTGATTCTGCTTTTAATCAAATTCAGAACATGGGGAAAAAATGACAGATTTATTTCGTTTAGAATCAACCAAGAACCAAGATATTTCCCAGATTAGAAGAGAGTTTGACTCCTAGAGTATCAGCAATTCCTTTCTTGTAATCATGAGCAACATTAGGACCACATATCAAGGAAGATTTACTGGCATTAATTAATTGACCAGACCTTTTGCAACATGTGTCAAGGGCATCTTTGGGACCCAGGAAATGATCTACTTCAAAGAAAAACAGAGAATCATCTACGTAAAGCAAATGAGATATTGGAGAGGCACTGGCACAATTTTTAACTCCCTTGAGCAATTCTATATCCTCAGAATGCGAAATGAGAGCAGATCAAACATTTGATGCAAGGATGTAGAGGTAAGGAGAGAAGAGATCACCTTGTCTTATCCCTTGACAAGGGTAAATAGGAGCATGTAAGTTGCAATTGAATCTGAGATGGTATTGAACTGTTGATATACACTGCAGAACAAGGTTGATCCATTTTTTGAGGAAACTTCATTTTAATCAGAATTGCCTCGATGAAATTCCAGGATAGGCGATCAAAGGCCTTTGAAAAATCAACTTTTAGAGAAGCAACCTTTTTTTTCCTTTTATTTGTGGAAGAGACAATAATATGCATTAATTCTGAGAAAAGCAAGATGTTGTCCGAGATCAATCAATTTGGCAAAAAAAAAAAAAAAAAGGAACACTTTCATGCATAGAGGTAATAGATGGGAGGATTACCTTAAGACAGAGGCAAAGGATCTTTGAAATGATTTTACAAGTGACGTTGCATAAGCGTATGGGGCGCAGATCACTGATGCATTGAACTTGTAGGCCCTTGGGAATTAGAATGATATGAATCTCCTAGAGGCTTTCAAGGTTCGAGAAGTGAATAATCATTTCAAAGACATCAGTACCAACTATATTCCAGTATTTTAGGGAAAAAATGAGCATGATATCCTTTTGGGCCAAGTGCACTATCTTTTGGGTGATAAAAAAACCGCTAGACGAACTTCCTCAGAACTTGGTGATGATGTAAGATCATAAGATTGAGCTTCAGAAATTTCAGGCATAGTGAGAAAGTTCATCTCAGATAGAATTTCTTGTGTGCTCAGAATCTGGGGAGCCAAATAGATTTGAATAATGTGACCATAGTAAATGATGAAGCTCCTGGAAACATTTAATCTAATTCCGTACATGTCTCTTGGAAACTACAACATGAAAATATTTAGTGCTGTGTTCTCGCTCCACTTTCCATTTCAATCTTGCTCTTTGTTCCCATAAGCTGTTCTGACAATCATGCATAAATTCTAATTCATGTTTACAAGAGGATATGGATTGATATAATAAAGATACCTCTGATCCTCCCCGAGGAGTTGTGAAGACAAAGCCTGGAGTTTCTTTTCTAGCTCTTGAATTCTGATGTGAAAATTTCCAATTGAAGAATTGTTCCAAGGGAGCCCTCAGATCTATTCTTGGTCCAAGTGAAATTTGGTCCATGCTGAGTTAATTCAAAGATATTAGCTGAGTCTAAGCAATCAACAAAGGAAGCACTTCCAATAGTTCATGAGTTGCTACCAAACTTTTCATCTTGGGAATTGACTTGATTAAAGTCACCCACAACCAGCCATGGGGACAAAATAAAAACGTGCAGTGTCAGTTGACCATAACCACAAAATGTGTCAATCAGAAACCTTGGGGGGCCATACACAAAAGATAAGCAACAGAAACATGACTTCTCATTAATCCAATCTTTCAGGTGGGTTACAAAATAGTTGCACTCTAAAATTTCAACTTGCCAAGATAAATTTCAAGCAACAATGGTTCCTCCACCTTTCTTAAAGGCACCAGTGCCAACAAAAGCATCATAAGCGAAAGACATTAACAAAGAACTAGAAAAAAAGATAGGAAGTTTTGTTTAAACAACAACAAAATCAGGGACGATTGACTACACTAGTTGCTTAATTCTTTGAACTGCTGTTGACTTCCTGAAACAACAGCAGTTCTAACTTAGGGCTATCACTGACAGTTGCCGTTTTCTTGAAATAGGAAATTTTAGAAAATCTTTGGTAAAATCTGAAGAGTTCAGGTCCAAAGATTCTTTGAGCTTTGAAGGAATAAAAGATAATGAAATGACTTCCAGAGGATTGAATGTAGCAGAGTTGAAAAGAGAACTAGAAAAATAAACCATCTTGGACTTGGAGAGCTGGATGCCGGAGTGTAAGCAAGGCGGAGGCCATCATTTGGAACAAAGAAGTATAACACATTACGGCTCTGAACAACCTCACCAAAATGAGGCACATTTGCCAATTGTAGAAATTATCATTCAGACTATGAAAGAACAAACTAAAGTAGTCATTCCGCCAATTATAGGTATCACAATTTGCAGACCACCAATTAATCAAACAAAAAGGTGTCTCCTGAGCAAATTTCGCTGCAAGCCGTAAATATTTACGTAGGACATCAACATCATCAGGAGGGAAAAAGCGGTTTGAGGAATTCAAGTTACCTATTGCCAGCTTACCCAAGATCTTGAAACATTCGAGCACAAAGCTATCAACCTTTGCTCCCAGGTTTTCAAGTTCAATATACAGCCTTCGCCTTTTAGACACTCCTGAACCCACTATTGTGAAAGGCATTGATGAGTTTTGAGTGATTGGCAGAGGGATCGGTGTAACCAGGTCCACATCATTATTTGGGCCTCAAAGATCGGATGGGGCAGAGGATAGGTTTGGACTTGGTGAATCGTAAAAGGACACCGAAGGGTCGTCAGAAATACGATCAGGGATATCATCAACAGCAAGGATAGGGTCAGGCTGAATATCAGGTTTTGACATTGGGATAGCGCCAGAGGCAAGTAAAGCATAGGTCGAAGGGTTAGTTGATATAGGATCCGGCTGTGTAAAATTTTCTTGGGCCAGATCCAAAGACACATGGGTTTGAGGAACAATGTTAATCTTGTGTTTTGTATAAGGTCACCCTAAAAATCTTCCAA